TTCCATGCCTGGGCCTTTTTCCGAAACATTGACCCCCTTGATTCCGTGAACTTCTTGGCTACCGAGAATGTCTCTTCGGTTTTGGCTTTGGACTGTTTGTTTCAAAAGAAAGCAATTATAATATGGATCTTTGCATTCTCCTACTTTGCCTATAAATAAGAGATGATGTTGTAAAGAAAGGCAGTTGATATTTGTGAGCATATTTGCTATTAACCTGCGGGTTTATTCGAAAATTCTGCGGGCTCTTTCCACCCTTTCTTCTTGGGCTTCTAACCTCTTCGTCTCTCCGCAAGTGCCACTCCATCTGTATCCTTCTTCTCAACAGTGAAGCAACTTTAGGGTGTCGTGTCTTGGTTGATTTGGAAGCATTTGAGACAGTCTTGCAGTGGTGGACCATCGGTTTGCTAGTTCTATGCACTTTACTTATTTAGCGTACAAATTCGATGCATGTGAGGAACCCGCTCTGACGGTTGTCTGAGGATAGCGTATTTTTAAATTTCTTTATTTCTTTAAAATCTCCTAACATCTTTTATTGTGTTTGTCAAGTTTTGGGTCGTTTGCTTTTATTTAATAAAGTTTGTTTTAAGTTCTACTCATTGTGTCAGTTTTCTTCTTGTGTGTCTACATCACATACACACACTTTTCTTAGCATGGTAGGAGGGAGCCAAGTGCGATACTTGCGGCGAGGTAGTAGGCCTAATACATGCTCTTTGTAGCGTGACGGGGATACTCCTAAGTACTCGTACACATGCTTCTATGCCTGCGGGGAAAAAATGTTAATTCTTCACACAGGTACCTCGAAGACCCATACATGCTTTTTGTAGCGCTGTGGTATTGAAAAGCACGACCGCAGTGTCACATGACACCTACCAGGCTACCATACATGCTCTTTGTAACATGGTGGGAAGGCCCAATTCCCCTAAACGTGGGAGATGTTGGGAGACTGCTAAAAATTTCAATAAAAAGAGGTCCAGAACTTAAACAAAATGCAAGGAATATAACTTAAACTAATTGGCTGGGAACTGCACATTAAAATTGATAAATTCATGATCAAAATTAAAATACCAACATCAAATATTAATTTTGATCATTAAAATGAGTATTAACAAACCAGCAGGGGACTTATGGTGAAAAATTTTCAAACATAATTAATATGGAAGCAAACATACCAGTTTCATATGAACACAAGAAAGCCAATTTGCAAATTAATACACATACCTGCTTGCAATCAATAGCAGTTAACTGACGAACAAGTGCTTTACTCTATTTATGAGCGACGACAACAGATATAGAAACTTGCAATCTAACATACATTGGGAAACCAATAATGAATGCAGTTCAATTGGTAGCCCATATCAACATGCAAGCGAACACATTAAACCTGTTTGTAAATTATAATATTCCCTACAGACATATACACATAACATGCAATAAATGTCAGGACATTCGTGCAATCAACAACTATTCAGTGTTAAGCAAACACATCAATCTTTTATGAGCAAGGGTAGAAAACCTACAACAAATGCTAGTGGCCTCGATCTTGAGAAGCATCCAATTTACTGTCAAATTGGAACCTTACTACACCCCTAAGCTTAAAGTAAATGCCTTGGAAATTGCATGAGAAAACGGTGGAATATCAGGAGATGGTGGCTTCTGAGAGCATCGGTCAACCGCTGAACCCATTTGTCCTTCATCTAAAGAAGAGGACTTGGAGCTCTACTGCCCAACTTGCTTAAATATTTTTAACCAACCAATGTTGCTACCTTGTGACAAATCGAAGACAAATAAATCTAATAGTGCATAAGTCAAGCCTTTGGTTTCATCAGATTATGATACTTCATCTATCACAAAATTACCACCCCATACAACATGGGGGTCCTCATCTAGTCTAAGCAAAGATAGGATAATTTATAGGTTTGATCTTTCTAAGAATGAAAAAGGCAATGTTGGAGAAGTTTGCTAGACTGAGTGTATTGATGCCAATGATATGCAAATGTTGTATGAAAACGTGCCTGCAAGCAGTGGCATGAAATGTTTGATCAAAATTGCAGACCATTAGTGAAAGGCTCTTGATGCGTCGTACAGTGTGTTTGCAAGCGGAAGTATACTCCGACAGACAAAATATTGAGGAAAACAATAGCATGCACAAGATGAAATGAGACCCAATGCACTGCTAAACCACACCCCAAACTGCTAAAATGTCTCCCAAACTCATAAAATATAAGTATTCAAGGTGACAATAAAGTCACCTTGATGATGATCATGTTGAATGCAAATATCAATAAGAGGGATTAATGTTTAAAGACATATCAAAGATCTAAACATCCTTATTTTTCAATAATATTAATGTTTAATATTGAAATAAAATACCTAAATACTTAATGCAAAATACCATCCACCATTCGCAATAGTTTGTCAAGGTGGACAGATTTAAAAATCACTTCAGCTCATAAAGAGCGAATGTCTAGTCGAGAATATCACTAGGATTCATTCTCAAACTGTCTCTTGCCAGTAAAGACGTGACTCGTAACCTTTAACAAGTGGTTTCGTCGCCAAATGGTACCACAAGTAAACGGTTATGATTAGGATCTTTTGAACATGTTGTTTTGTCGCCAAATAACATCATTAAATTATGGTCATGGTCAGAGCAATTAAGTTCCCCAATCTTTGAGTAATGAATCAATAGAATATGATCGAAAAGGCACAAAGCCCTTTGTTAGCTAAGGTGGCTTCAAATTTGTCTCCTTAAGCAAACATCAATCCTAAGTCTACAAGGTACCCTTGGACAAAGCAATCCATGACTGTCGACAAGGATCCTTCTATCAGGTTGGGTCGACTACCTCCTATGACTAAGTAGACTAGGGAGAATGATGATTTGGAATGACAGAATCTTGGGATCTTGATCGTGTATATCATCATTTCCCCACCATCCGCTTTAAGTGCAAAATGATGAATTTCTAATTTTAAATATTAAATTTTCAAATATCCAAATTCTGCTGCTACTATACGCTAGATACTATGTATCTATTTGACAAGTAGTCTTAATGAATGTTATCTCTCATTATCGAAAGGGGTAATTAACTATTGAGGCTTGCACCTATAGGAAACTTGAACTCAGATCATAAAGTCCTCGTAAAATGAGTGCGAAATCTCTTGTAATGTCTTATTCAAAAACCATTATGCCTTCTGAAAACTGGCCTTGGAACTTATTCGTTAAAACTCTCCTTGATGACCCGAAAGAAAAAAAAAAGGGCCACGAAGAGGTCTAGACGCGAATTTATGGAACCCACAATAGGTTTTATGTGTGATCTAGTTTAGTCAAGTTTGTATAGCATGGGTTTTTATGAGTAATCGATTTTCAATTAATTGCAATAATTTTGTGATTTTGAGTTTCTATGCATTGTTTCTAGTTTAAATAATTTAATTGAAATACTTTATGTTTTTTTTTAATTTTATCATAAGTAACTAATAACTTCTAAAATTAAAAGTTTGTGGATTATGATTTGTGCATGTTGCATGATTTTGCATATCATACAACTTCTACCTCAGAAATTCTGGATTTTAAGGCTTCGTAGTTACTTGCAATGTGTGTTGTGTATATCATTTATCCACCTTCAAATCAGGAATCTTCTTCTGCGATCGAGCTTGTGGTTGATTTTTGAGTGTGGTTGGTTTTCTAGAGTGCTTTTATTTGTCAACAGTTTTTCCACAATTTAGGCAAATTTGTGGTGGCGATGGTAGTGCAATATTTTGTTGTGTATCAGATTGGGGGATACTTTGAGGGAAATGATGCATAGCTTGAGAAGGGAGAGTGGAAAAAATGATACACAACCTAAAGGGAGAGAGACAGAGTGAGGAACTAAAATGAGGAAGAAAGTATTCTTGGTTGTCCACGAAAATTTAAAACCTTTGGAGGCAATAAATTTGCATTTAGCTTCAATTTCGTTCTTGTATACCTCAATGGTCCTATATATGGGGTGGAAATGAGTTAAGGGTTTCATAATATCCTCAAAAACTCCTTATGCTTTGATTGCTTTCCAATCAAGGCTAAGTGAAGTAAAATACTATGGAAATGCAGATGCATTTATGGCTGATGCATTACAAGAACTCAATTTCAAGCAAGGTTATGAGTTTGTGAAATTCTTAGAATATTAGAACATGCTAAGGTTGAATGGATGACCTCCTCCACGTGACAATTTCATCCAATAATGCATCCCTCAATTTTAATATGCATATAGTATTTTCATTGCCATTGTTGTTAATTTATTTTCAATTAACTTTGTAGCTATGATTAATTATTAGTCGTTCAGTAATATTCTTATGCTAAGGTAGCCAAGCAACTGTCTATATTACTCCAAGTCAGGAAAAAATCATTACACGCAATCCATGCAAAAAATTGGACCATGCATGACTTCATTTTACCTTTACCGGCCAAAGAAATACAAGAGCAATTCTTTATGTATTGACTTGTGTCATGAGGAGTTTTTGTGGCAAATTGACAATATATTCTTAATAATGCGGAGGGATATCACCCATCATACATGAAAAGCGAAGGTAACAAACCTGCTATGCAAAAAACCTGTGTGAAGTAACTGCTAATTAGTTTTTGAGATCATAATCTTATAATTAGGATAACTTAAGCGAGGTAAGAGAATATTTTTCATAGCCTTCTTCTTCTCCAGTAGAAATTTACAATTGTTAAGTACTTAGCAATTGAAATTTTTTGTGAACAAATCTCTTGGCCGTCTAGTTTAATGGTTTCAATAAAGAGAATAGTAGTTTAGATAACAATCGAACAAATAAGTAAGAAAACTATGGACTCTGTTGTATGATATAATCCATGCAATGCAATTGCATATTTGTATGCTTGTTTTTGGTCACATGTCATAACAAATAGTCTTCTTGATTATACGATGACGAGAAGTGATATTTATTATCTGTACACTTTGGTCGTTAAGGCACAGTGGCATATCATGTTGAACTCTTAACCCTCTCTACAGTACAATGCATCAGTCGAGCTCAAGAAAAAGGGATTTGTGACAGTACCAAGCTTCTTGATACAGGTGTGGAGTAGATAAATTTTGCTAGACTGCTTTTATTACGAGTTCCATCGAAGGAATTTATATGCTTTTCAACCATTTATCAATGTTATTTTTCTTTCTACCCTGCTTCCCTTTGTTGAAAAAGGCTTTAGACATCATAATGTCTCTCGTGCAATAGATATTCATGAATAATGAAAAAGTGTAATTACGTACAACTAGCAGCCCTGTAATTTCAACCAGTTTTTTGATCTCTTTATTTCTTAAAAATTAGTCAGATTTGAAGTTAGAAACACTTATTTCTGTCATATTAATTGCTGTGCGAAGCATGAGAATCCTCCATGTCACATTTTCACAATTGTTTTGCTCTACAGTGTTTTTTGGACATGTTTTGTCATAAACGATACATTTGCTTAACCTAGTTTCTAGCTTGTAATATTTTTGTAAGTATCCTTGAAATTATTCAGAAGTATAGTTTTCTACATTTTAATGCCACTTCTTTTAACAATCTAACTAATATCTTCTGAACAATGTGCTATGTTAAAGTAAAAGTTTACATAGTTTTATTAGAATGAACAGTTTTATTAGCGATGAACAAAATTAAGAACATATTTCATTTTGGCTGTTAATCCTCTATTGCTTTAATTAGTTTCGGTGTTCATCCTTCCCTGCTAACTTCCTCTAATATGCAAATATATCTAAGTTGCATCAGTTTCTTAGCTTATCAGAATGAAGGCAGCACAAGTATTTACGAAGTAGTTTCAAAAAGTTTTTCTTCATTTCTATGGACCCTAGAGTGTTTTCATTCTTCACTGCTATTTTGTTGCGTGAATTGACAGCAACGCTATCAGATCTCTTATTTGGATGATTATTGATTCTTAAGGGAATTCATGCTGACAAGAGTGAACTTGCAAAGTGGTTTGATAGACATCTTTTGGATAGAGATTCAGGGAAAGTTGTGGTAATGGGGATGTTTTGTTTCTGTTCTGCATGCCATGCAGAAAAAAAGTATCTAATCTAATTATGCTTTTCATCCTTGGGCTCACAGGTTAAACCAACAAGGGCTGGATCAAGTATAGGTGTTTCAGTAGCTTATGGAGTTGATGATTCTTTGCTAAAAGCAATTGATATTATTTCAGAGGTATCTTACCTTGTTATGATTGATGCATTCAAGTAATGCAGAAGAATTAACCAAATGCCTTAAGCTTGTTTTGTACCCTTCAGGGCATTGATGATAAAGTTCTCATTGAGGTCTTTTTGGAAGGAGGATGCGAGTTTACAGCTATCGTTATTGATGTTGGGACTGATTCTCAATGTGATCCTGTTTCTCTTCTCCCAACAGAAGTAAGTTAAATGTAATTAGCTTAAGCTTTGTTTGGGATGGCTTTCTTACTGCTTCTTAAAACAACTTTCTAAGATTTTGATTTTTATACTAAAAAGCTGCTTTAAGAAGCAATAAAAAAGTCATCCCAAAAGAAGCCTTAGTTTATTTTGCAGTTAATAAGGCCTTATTTAAGATGATTGCTTATGTGTGAAAACTTTCGTGTAAAATCACAAACAAGGCTGTCTTCTGGGACATCCTTTGATGAGTAGGTTGCTTCTCTCGTTGATATGATATAGCTTTATTTGGCGTGCTTGCTCTTCTAGGGCTGACTATAGCAAAACCTGCCGATGCTATTGCCCCAAACAAAGCGTAAGAGTATACCATTCTCATAGACTTGTTGATGCTTGGTTTTCTAAGTTTGCTTTATAAATGTTAATAAATATAGCATGTTTAGTACTTATATAATACTTTGTTTATTTTATATAAGAATAAGCAATTGGTTTTCATCTAGTTGATTTCTAGAACGTAAGGTTTATAGCATTGAGGTTCATTACAAAAACATTGAAATTTGACTCTTTATGGATTGCACTAAGTTGTTTATTTCAATGATATCGTACACAAATTAACTGTCCTGTGCCAGCTAATAGATTATATGGAAATAATTTGTAATCCACTGGTAGTAAACACACATTTTAAGGAAAAAAAAAACGTTCTATTTACCCATATAACTGGTTCTATTAACTTATGGATAGAATATTTTAATATGAAGGAAAAAAAATCATTTTGCAGAGGTTATAAAGTAATTTCGTGAGAAGGTTTAGGGTAGTAATTTAATAAATGGAATATTCTAATAAGAAGGAAAAAATCATTTTGCAGAAGATATAAAGTAATTTCATGAGAAGGTTTAGGTTAGTAATTATAAATATATGCCTTAGAAGTGTAAATGAACTAAAGAGATAAAATCACTTGATTAGAAGTTAACTTTCTTCAAAGATAGGTTGTCGGAAGAAAATAAAAAAAAATTAAAGTTCAACCAAATTTGATTGGATAAAATGGCTGGTTGAAGTTTGCTTGAGGCTTTTAATTAGCGTGATGATTAAATGCTCATTATTAAAGAGACTTCATGGTACAATAAGGTGGCAAAACTGTTATTAAATAGTAATAATATGCTTTTAAAAATGGCAACTTAATATTTGTGAATTGTAAGAACTGTACATGGAAGTAAGAAAAGTGGTTTATAGCTTTTCATGATTTTTATTATTGACTTCATAACAAAAAGGTGAAAAGAAAGTATAAACAATTAAGGCAAGATTAAAGCGATATATAGACTTGAAAGTTAGAAGAATTGTTCAAATATTATTTTTTTCTTTTATTTATTTCTTCATTCTTAAATAAGATTCATTGTCTAAAGGGATGCCAAATTAATAGAGGAAAAACATTTTTAATATCAAGTATTTAAGAATCAATGAGATTTGTGGTAATTGAAGGTGAATCAAACTTATGGATTTGTTGTGAAAGTTATATTTAAGGATGCTGGAATAAAGACCGAGAAAAATTACATTGCAATATCAGAATATTAATTTTTTATTTTATGTCCAAACTAAGAAGAAATCAATTAATTGCGAGGTATAGAGAGGAACTGAATTATCTACATGTGATTTTATAAGCCTGGAAAAGGATTAAGATAGGTTAACTTGAGTAATGATTTGGTGTGTATTAAGGGCATGAAATTTATTGAAATGTCTGCAAAAACTATTAAAAATAGGTTCAACTATTAAAGTTAAGTTCAATGAACCAATTATTAGTACTAGATTATTAATGGAATGGCCAATGAGTTCCCATTGAAAATAGAGATACATCAAGGGTCAATATTTATTCTTTTTTGCATTGCTTATGAAGAAGTGTAGTAAAATTATTCAAGTTGTTATTTTATTTTATTTTTTGTTTTTTTTTTAATTAAAATCAGTGGAGGGGCCTATGTGTTAATATAAGAAAGCGATTATAAAGTCCTTAAGGGTGACGATCAGCTCACTAATGCTCCAACGAGTTACAAAATAAAATAAAGGAAAACCTAGGAGCCGACAATCTCCACTAAAAAAATATACAGGACCTAGTAACATACTACTGATGCTATAGAGAAGCATCCAAAAAAGAAAGATATAGTAAAAGAATGGAAGCTCGATCTTTCTACAAAAAATGATGATGACGACTTGAATCATCTTCACTTGCAAAACAAAAGGGCTGCAGGACAAAAGGGTATAACACAAGATTTTATAGTTAACCCAATAAAAATTGTAAAACTTCTATCTGAGGAGAAAAAATGATAAAAACCACTGAAACATAATTGATCTAAAGGCATGCACCAATGAAAGCAAAAACGGGGATAAAGACTGATAGAGCTCAGGATTAAATTAGTATAAGAAGCCTCATAAAGGTAATCCACAAGCCACTCAATCCAACCCTCAGGTGCAACCACCATGTAACCCTCTAAATAACCCGAGAAGAAGGGGATAACACTAGCAGCACACCAACTCCAGGTTATCACAAGGACCTAGCCCAAAGGCACACCAACAGAAGATCAGATAAGCAAAACCAGAACAGAACAACATAAGGCCACCCACAACAAGACACAAATTCTCCAAAAAATCATAAAAAACCAGCCCAAAGGCACTCCTGTAGCTGCCATGATACAAAAGCCAAGCCAAAATCCCTGGTAAATGAAGACCATAGGCAAAATAGCCCAGAAACCCATCCAAATGACTACAAAAACCCCCAGCAATATAGAGCAGCACCCTGAAGGAAGGAGAGCACCAATGGGATAAACTCTCAACAACAATATCGGTGCAATCATAACTCAAGTCTATATCCAACCAGACAACAACTACATTGAAGAGCATCGAGAGATGCAGACAAAAATAAATACAACACCCAGAAAGGCTCAGCTAAGTAACAGCCATACAAGCCAACACAAGGCCCAGACAGTAAGAAACCAAACAAACCAGTCAACCTAAAGAAGCAATTAGGAGAAAGCAGCCAACCAGGGCAACCAGACCAAAGTAACACAATAACTCCACTAAAATTCAGGTGCCAAAGAAGCTGTCCCCAACAACTAAAATTGGAATAACACACAACAACAGAAGCAACTTGAGAGGCATCCATAATCGCAAGGAAGCCCCAGTAACCAAAGGTGGAATTAGAAATAAAAAGAAACAACAAAATCCCACCACAAAACCATAACCAGAACCAGAGGTACCAACTAAAATTAACCATAGGGAGGAGCAATTTCATCCAACTGCAAAAACCAAAAGACAGGGCCAAAACCTATGATGCACCGACACTTCTCCTCAAAGAGGCGTGCAGTGTCCTACACCGTGTCCGACACGACACTCGCCCGACACTTCTCCGACACGTATCGGAAACACCGAAAATGTGTCCGATTAAAAAATATTAAATACAGATTGGACACGCATGTCCGACACGCGTATCTTAAATATTTTATGATTTTTTAAATATAATTTCTTGTATTTGGCTGGATTTAAAATAAATTTTTTATTTCCTATCTACAACACCAAATCAACGTCCGCACTTAATACCCGATCATCGAATATTCTCATTTTCATATCTTTTTGGCAGTGAAGGTATTTTCATCTTCTTTCTCGGTGACTGATAAATGACATCTACATCTGACTCTCGACATCCTAATATTAATCATTTTAAGCACAAATTCTTGTTAAATGACTTATTATTTTCAAATTATTTTTAAAATTATACTTATTTAATTTTTATACACTATTTTTTAAATATAAAAATATAATAACGTGTCCAACCCGTGTCCATGTCCTATATTTTCAATAACTGACGTGTCCCGTGTCCGTGTCCGTGTTGTGTCGTATCCGTGTCGCCGTGTCTGTGTCTGTGCATCATAGGCCAAAACAGACCGAAAAAACAACCAGTAGCTACAATCACAGAAAGAACAACCCCACAACTTGCTAACTAACCCAATAAACACAAAATTAAGGCAACAACTGATCTCACACAACAAAGAGTAGCACTGGTAGTCCCAAAGAGGGAAGGAAAACCAACTCAGAAGACCATGAGGCCAGACAAACCTCCAAACAAGCCAAGTCAGATGATGCATACCACCACAACCCGCCAACAAGTTAAGCAAAGAAGCAAAAACAGAAAAAGGAACAACAAAACAACCCAGTCACAAAAAAACCAGAACAAACAAACCAACAAGCACCCAACCAAGGAGTAAAACTACATAAGAACTAACATAAGGAATATCAAGCTCATCCAGTTTAAGCAAACCACGAAGAGGCACCGTAATGGAGGTCCCAATATCATCAGAAAAACAATCAAGACTACAACCCCTGTTAGCAAGCCAAAAAACACACGCATTACCCTCCTTGCAAGTGTGAAGAAACGAATAATTCAAAAATAACAACAGCTTTTTAATTTCCCTAATATGGTAGAAAAGGTCAGGGATACAACACGTATCCCTATCAACAAAAAACAACCAAAAATCATAATCAGAGTTCAGTTCAATAAGTAAATTAGTTAAGTTAAGGGAAACACATAACTGAATACCATAAAGAATGGCCAAGGTGACAACATTAAAGTAATTGCCAAGAAGAACAGAACCAGCAAAAGCTAAAATAAGGCAGCCATTACTATCCCTGATAGTACCACCCAATGCTTTAAAAACCGGACCGGACCGGCCGGTCCGACCGGTTCAACCGTGAACCGGTCTAAAGGCCGGTTCGGTTTACCTGAAAACCGGCTTATCTTCAAACCGGCCGGTTTTGTCCAAAACCGCCGGTTCAACCGGTGAACCGGCGAACCGGTCACGGTTCTCTTGAACCGGCCGGTTCAAGTTTTGTATTTTTTAATATTTAAATTTTAAATAACTTATTTTGAAATATTAATTAAAAAATATTTGTAATTAAATTTCAAATTTGAAATGCTTTATTTTAAATTAAAAAATTTCAAACAAGCATTTCATGAAGGGAAAGTCTAG